GGTCCGGGACGGCTACCAAGTCGTCCATAGTACCCTTGAGTGCCTTGGCACTCCTCCACTGTCGGGAGTGGATCGTTTGGAGCTTATCAGAGGCTTTAATGCCTCGCGTTGGGTCAGCGAACCGCTCCTTGAGGAGCTTGAGGAATTGGGAAAGAGGAGTGACTTTGGAATATGCAACCAGGTTGTTTTCACAACCGGCTGTACGCGCAAGAGACCTGGCAAAGCTAGCCGCTTCATCTTTGAGGGCCTGGAAGGCCACGAGGACTTGCTTCTCTATCAGGATATGCTGTAAATAAATGTAACTATTGACACTGGCCTCCCAGTTGTCAAAGTTCTCGTCTTTCTTTCCCCCGTACGCGTCTGGGAACTTAAGTTTCACTAGGTCCTTACGGGGTCTGGCCTCTCCTTCTACAGCGGCTGCAGCTTTGGCACCCTGAATGGCGCCCTCACAAAACTTCCCTACATTCCCTCAACTGTTTGACTTCGCCCCCAATGTGGGTGACGATTTCGCGCGCAAAATCCCTGAACCCGGACCGCATGGCGCTCAACGCTACATCCTGGCTCCAGCTTGCCTGGCGCTCCTCCATCCAGGCCTTGCTCAACACCTCTAGATAGCCCAGTACTTTGTCCCACTTGGCCTTATCATCTGGCTGGGCCAGCACCTCCACTCTACACTCCTGCACCTTTGCCACTGCTGCGGTCATCTTATTCACTTCCTCTCTCCTCCTCTTCTTCTCCCTCTTCATTCTCAACTTCCATGCTAACTTTTGCTCGTCTTCCCTCTCTCTTCGTTCCATTGGGTCTGTCATGGCTGCTAGCTCAGCGGCTAGCGCAGCCTTCTCATCCCTAGTCACATAGGACTCCGCCTCCTCGTCTTCCCCCAGCGATAAATTAGCGACCCACTCGCTGATCTTCTTCTCCAACTCAGTATGTGTCTCCCACTTCATCGTGCCACCACTGCTCCCTTCTCCACTCTCAATTCTCATTCTCTCTTTCTCTTCTTCTGCGGCCGCTTCTGCTTCAGCAGCCTTCCTTCTTTCTTCCTCCTCCTGTTGTACCCTCTTCATCTCCTCCTCCAACCTCTTCATCTTTGCCGCCTGCTCATCGACGATAGCCTTTAGCTTGGCCAGCTTCTCGCGCTCTTTTCTCTCCTTGTTCTCTCTGACTAAGGCGGCCATCTTTTCTTGCTGCTCCTGGCTATAGGGGTTAGTCTCTAGCCCAGTACGGGTCTCCACCATGGTGATAGGTGCACAATCAGGATGATTCCACTCCTCACCACGTAGACTCTAACCCCTGACTGACAAACCTGTAGACTCAATCTAAGAACCCATAGAATCCTGACAAGGACCCTGTCAACTATGGTCTCTAGCCTAGACCTATGCTATGGCTGTCACTACTGAACCAGTGGCTAATCAGGAGGCATTTAAGGAGATCCCCCGTAACTCCTCAATAATTTTTTAACGTCGCAGACAGGACAGCGTGATCAGCTTGGTTCTGCCTGTGCTTTCAGCCCACAAATCAACCTTTCCAGCCTACTGTGCCACACCGAGCAGCCCGCCGGTCTGTACCGGTCCTTGGGAGGGTTCGTATCCCCCGGGACAGTCGAGTCGTCAGACACAGATCATCAGCCTTACTTGGTCTGGTAGGGGAGTGGTTCCAACAGGCCCTCAACACTTAAAGACGGCCTCCGTTTCAGCCTGCAGCTCAGAGTTCGGACCCTCTACACTGAAACTGAGCAGACCTGTCGGACAGTACCGGTCATTGGGCTAGACGAGTTGTTTAACGAGCGCT